GGTGCTGCCCTGACTCTCAGGGCGTCTGCATGTCCGCCCGGCTACGCTCTGGGTGCTGCCCTGACTCTCAGGGCGTCTGCATGTCCGCCCGGCTACGCTCTGGGTGCTGCCCTGACTCTCACTGCATCTGCATGTCCGCCCGGCTACGGTCTGGGTGCTGCCCTGACTCTCAGGGTGTCTGCATGTCCGACCGGCTACGCTCTGGGTGCTGCCCTGACTCTCACTGCACTGGCGTTGCATTTCACATGGCCTTCTGCCATTGCTGAGTGAAGCTCTCATGCATTCATATTATATAGATGGCATCAAAGTAATTTAATAGTGACAATCAAGATCAGCCCAACCTATCGGGGGAGCAGCAGATAGCAGAATGGGCTTCGACACTCTCACCTGCTGGGACAGCTCCTCTGCCTTGGCCAGCACTGTGATGGGCGGCAGCTCGCTGGCGTCACACGCGTTCCTCCGGGAGCTGATCCGATCCCTTTCGTTTTGCACCGCTGCAAAACAGGCACACCGGCCGGCTTGTTAGCGCCCCCCGGTGGCTGCCGGGGCTCTTTAATTCCTGCCTGAGTAACGCCGTCCCGGCGGGTGATCCTCCGTTATCGGCGTGCTAATGCAGATATAATCACAATTCGCGTCCTTCTTAGCGCCTTATTCCCCCCTGATCTGAGATATAAATTAACACGGAGTAAATTAAATCATCTCAAAACATCCAACTTCATATAGCGGGTTTCTAGATAATTTAATTACATTTTCAAATTTAATTCAAAGCAATATATAAAAATGATAATTCAAGGCAATAATCTCCGCTGTCATGTTCAGTTTAAAACCACTGGGGGTGTCTATTTTAAAATGGACGACGTTATTAATATTAACCACTAGTGTTAACTGAAGACCTTAGGCAGAGGAGCGGGGTGTCGGCGTAAATTCAGCGCAAGAGTGTTTATAACAATCTCCCAGCCTCCTTTAATTTGCTGGGGTGGCGCTTTGCAAGCCGTCCTGAAAGCAATAAAATGGAGCAATCGGTACTAAGCTGGGTAGAGTCCAGCTGAGCGGGTAAATGTCGTTCTCGGCCTGGAAAATCAGTAACGCCGAGCAGTAAAAATGTAACTCATGAATCCGCTAAATAACAAGCGATCACAGTGAAGGTGGAACAGGTGCCACATGACCGCAGTAAACAGCATCCGGAGGAATGTGTAAAACGGCGTTTTTAAAACCAAATTCAATAATTATACCATTTAAAATCATTACGCTTTTCTTTTTATGTCATATACTGACATACACCGATTGTAAATTATTTTGAGAAATTTCGAAGTACTGTTTTTTTTCAGTACAAAGGAAGCAGTAACTTTTTAAATGTTAATTTTAACAGAATATCCCCTTTCCCACACTGCAGTGCCCGCCTATCGCGGCATTACCTCCCCCCCCCCCCCCCCTTTGATTTTATGCGGGGGGTTTCCGTCAGCGACGAACAGTTTGGGAAGGAAACATTACCTTCTTTCTTCATCCCCGCGCGGAAACATTTGTGCAGCCTGCAAAATCTGCACTGATTCCTTTTATCTTTGTCAACGACACACTGCCGGTTAAACCTGGTCAGAGAGAAAGGTTTATGCTAGTTTTACTCTTGGATTTTTGTCAATGATTTTACGCATCATCCTTTTACATACACACAAGCGCAATAATTTAAGAAACTATTGTGCCTTCCAAATTAAAAAACAATAAAATACTAAGCAATTTCAGATCATTCTATGATTGCCCAATACTGACCTGTTCAGATCATATCATACCAGAATTGTACATATTTATATTTAAATTAAAAATTTCTGTAGCACATGTCACCTGATTTGTCAGACTTTACACTGCTTTTTAAAAATTGTTTATACAGCTCAGTATCACCTGTAGCATCCCCATCAAGATTCTGTAAAAAAAAAAATCAGTTAACCACCACACCACCTAGTGGTTATTAAAGCTACCTGCAGGAGTAAACGTGGCTCTTCCTGATGCTCCTTCTGAAGAAGCCCTTGCAGCCGTCGCAGCTGGAGGCCCCGTAGTGCTTGCCCGTGGCCTTGTCCCCGCAGATGGAGCAGTAGGAGCTGAGCGTGGTCTCCTCCGCGCCCGCGGCGTTGGACTCGGTGAGCATCGCACTGCCCGGTTCTGTGGGAGCGAAGGGCTCGGTCAACCAAACACCTGGAGCCGCGCTGGGAGCCGCTCCGGGAGCCGCGCCGGGAACCGCTCCGGGAGCCGTGCCGGCAGCCGCTCACGACAGCGGCGTCTGGATTCAGGGACCCTACAGGAGTTAATATCAGGCTACAACTATTTGCACACTGTGTTTGTACAATGTTTGTAGACTTTTTTTTGTATTTGTCAGCATAGCAAAAGCAATTTATAATGTTTGTACTGTAATTAGCCAAACAAGTGTACAGTTCTCCTGGATCTGATTTTAATCCCATGATTAAAATTAAATGGGACTTTGAATATTTAGAAAGAACAAAGATAATTGCTTCAAGAGCGTAATAACTACTTAAGCAGTGTGACTATATGGAAGGAAACTAATGCTTAAAAGGACATTAAAATCTCCAACTGGGGCCTTAATCAGTTGTCATCGGAAACATAACAGATAGATGGGGCATTTCATACATATTAATTAGCTCGGGACTGATTCTCTTTTTTTCGTATTTCCACATGCTCCACATGGAATGTGCCGGAACTCAGCCAATGGTAGCAACCGATGAGCCTTAAAAGGCAGTTACACTAAAGATAAGTGGACTGCAGCGTCTGCATTTTTTTCGACTCTCCACATCGACTCGTCACCCTGAGTTTGAAGTCGCACACAAATTCACGCAAACATGCAGCTCTAATTCACTGAGGCGTTATCTGTCATTTAATGCGACACAGTGTTGCGTTAATGCACAATGGCTCCCATGGAGTCCCTCCCTGGCGAGTTTTTAAATATCTTTTGCAGCTTCTTTACACATGTTACATTCTGACATAATATGCAAAAAGTGTAAATAAATTAATAAACAAACCAGATTGATTTGGGACGTTTCTGATTAATTTTTATGTTTAACCCTGAAGTGGCCTGCTTAAGCTGCTAAAGATTAGCCCAGTGGTGATGGTAAACGACAGAGTGGAGAGAACAGAATGTGACGGACCTCAGACGTGGAGAGGAGAATCTGTTAGCTGTCAATAGGATCCACACAGAGCCCGGTCCTTGTGCTTAATTGGGTGCGCACACAAAAATACCATTTTTATCCATGTTTACCCATTGATACTGTATAGCTACATATGCAGCCAAATGAAAGTAACCTGTAAAGATGATCGTCCTGAAAACATAAGCCAGCTGACCCTTCTGCTTATGGCATGATTCAATCGGCGATATATTACTAAAGAAAATCCTAAATCAGGTGAAGAAAGAAACAAAAAAATTATAAAAAATTATAAAATTATTTTAAAATTATAAAAAACAATAACGTGGCTGAATATGTTTTTAATTATTACGTTTTTCAGATGGTCTGGCCCAGCCTAGGTGGCGCTCTTCCCCGTGACTCACCGGGTCCATACAGCACGGTGATGCTCTCGAACCCCAGGGCACTGTAGGCGGGCTCCAGGCCCTCGCAATAATCAATCGCGTCCATCTCTGGCTCAGCCCTGAGCTAGGGGGTCCCTCTGCCGCGACCACGCCCGTAGCTACGCGGCTGCCAGCTCCTCAAGAGTCTCCCGTAAGCATCGGCGACTCACGGCCTCTGCTTTCATTCCTCGCGTATTCAGCGGTTAATCTGGGGCCGTCTCAGGCGAACGCTTGGGCTGTATCCACTCAGACAAAAGCGTTCCGGTTTAACCATGAACTATGAACGGCTGACAGCCCCCAGGCAGGTTAGCAACAAGACGTCGCCGTATCACATGCATTGTCCAATAACGATGCGAGATCCTGAACGGGTTATCGTACTCCATGCTATTTTATCTTCAGGGTAATTTACGACGTATGGGAGAGCCTCCACCTACTTCTACTTCCTCAGCATGTCCGAATGTCTCCGCCGCACCAGCTTATTTGGCACGCTGTGTTTACATTCACATATCAATCATTATCACCTCATGAAGCGTGAAACCAACTCATTGAGCGACTGAGTGATAAATTCCATAAACATGGGCAGATGTTAAGTTGTAAGGCAGCTGACACTGAATGTCTACGATGCAACAAAAAGTTTGGCTTCTGAGCAAAAAAAAGCGGCCTTCGCATCAGGACCAAGGACAGCGCCGAGAAGAACCCCGATAAATTATCATTTAATAATCTGCCTTCTTCTCTCATCACTTATTTGATGATCTGACAAGCCAGTGAGTTTGTTTTTCTTACAAATGGAAGACATGAAAAATTATTGACTGCATCACGTTCAGATGTCAAGTGTGCCTCAGCTAACAATGGTGCATAATTCCACAGCCCCACCTGCACATTCCCAGACCTGACCTCAGCACCGTACTTCTGGCTAACTAACCACCTAGACGTCTAGGCCTTGATATCTCAGGAAGCCTGGACAGACCAGCCTGGGCTATGTGACTTAGCAAATTCTAGGATTTTAGGAGCCTTCCTCTGCAGAAGAACATCCTATTTTCCACCACGGTCCTCCAGTGTCTGTCTCTCAGGCTGACCTCTTTTTATACCTCTTCATCCATCTCTACCTCTCATTGCCTTACCTGTCCTCCTCATTTTAAACCATTACGCTGTAATGTACCTGCTTGTTGCGGACATGTTTACCACGGATGTTTGTACTAATGTACTCATTTCCTAATGCACCATGGAGACGTACGAGTGGAATATCCTTCCGAATGCATTTCCTTGGTTTATTCTTTTAAATTCTCATTCACATCAGACAGGCCATAACAACATGATTTATTTCCCCATAGGAGGGACCCATTCAGAGGGATTAAAGCGGAGATATGATAAAAGGCCACATTAATACCATTTTGGCATCCTATATTTTCCCCCATCGCTGCAGTATCTCGTAACGCTAACTGAACGTCTTTAGAAAAAGGGAATAAAATAAAACGTTTTTGTTGAAACAAATGAATAAATTACTTATAACACTTATTAAATGTACAATGTTTTCACTTTAATAATGAATGCAGTAATTGGTTATATTACGAATATAAGCTTATGAAATATCCCTTTTATAAGGCTATTTTAACTCGTCTATTTTTAACATTTGTGCTTGGATAATTATGTTCTCTCACTCAGCTGTGTCACTTCCCCTTCAGATTGTGCGCCAGGTGAATCCCGCAGTTCGGCCCCGCCGCTGTGGCGCTCCTTCGCAGGAAGCCTCTTCGCTGCACGGCAGCCTTGAGTCGCAAGCTACGGATCCCCGGCGCAATAAAAGCAGAACCTAATGCAACAATAAAACGACACATACAAAGCGGCATATTCCAGCGCCTCGCTTAATGGCCGGGCCGCGGACCTCGGTACCCGCTGAGGCATGACGAGAGGGCTCTCCAGCCTGCCTTTCTGTCGCTAATTGCTCTGTTACTGCGCTCATACGCCGCTTATGGGAAGCGGGTTCGAAGGATCCGGGAGCGTGCAAGGGCTCCGCAGCGCGATGCGCGCGCCTGCTTTTGTTTATTGGCAAACGTTTCATTTCCCATCCCCAGCGCTTTCAGGCCACAAACAAAGGCCTCTTTTCTCAAGCCAATCTCACACGTACAGTAGGCTTACGCGTGTTTTTACATCCGCGAATAAGTGTTTGCACATTAGTTATTAGAGCTTTTTAAGGCCAAAGGACAGCTAAAGAAGCTAAACACTCTATTTATACGTTGTATAATGAATAATTAATAATTACGTGTAATATAACATAATATACTGTGAGATTTAAGAGCTGTTACTCTGTATTTAGTACCCATATTCAGTCATTTGTTAACAAAGCACAACTCAACACTGCACTTCTGCATTAAATAAATAATTTGCCATGGGGAGTACTTTAAATCCTAGAGATATGTTTAATTAAACTAATGGTATGTTATGGATTTGATGTTCCGTAATTTAATAAACATTTAAAACTGAATGGAATATTTTGGAAATATAATTGATATTTAATAAATATAGCTAGCAAAAAGTTTAATGTTGTTTGTGGTGTAACCTGGCTTCCTAGACGGTTAACCTAACCTAACCTAACCCTATACTTAGCAAAGAAGTGGCACTCAGTTTACGGTTGTGCATTTACAGCTAAAAAAGAACCATCATCTCATTTTAAGCATCTCTGCACCGTTGGAAGAGTAATACATTACAGACCGATCTTACATTTGTTTTATTGTTTGTTTGTACCATTCAAATACATGAACGACGGATATACCTCTATCAAAACTCTGAATTGAAAATGAAACGATTCACAAATCTGTAAAATGAACGTTTTAGACAACAGAAAAGTTTTGTAATAAATTGCAGTTAACCTATAATTATTTTGTCGGTAAATTGCATGTACTATTTCTGTAGTTTGTAGCACAGATATTAATGGAGTATATCACGTTTGATCAAAAGAAAACAAAACCACGGAGCCAATGAATCACAAGGAGCGGTGAAAGCACCGTCAGTGTAGCGAAAGGGAACACGGCTGGAAGCGCGTCCGGATCCCGGCGCTCCTGGGTCACACGGCCCAGCCTTGCCGATCACCCAGCCACGTGACGCGCCCCTCTTTATAGCACGCACGGGCGCAAACCTGCTCATTATTACTTTCAAACATTCAACTGATGTTTATAGTAGTGTAGTATATGTATCCGACAGATTAGCGGTGTCTTCTTAACGCCGAGCAACCATTAATTTCTGCAGGAACGACTTTGAGAAAATGCAGGTCTTACCTTGACTCTCTTTAGTCCGCTTTCCAAAAAGTCTCAGGATTTCTTTAAAATTACGGCGACAGTCGATTTCTTATTTCATTTCGGATTCTGAGACGTTTAGAGAGCTCATGACTACACGAGGTGGGTTGTAATTCAATGATAAAACCATTAAATGGCGTCAGGGGAGCCTGTCATTACATCGATTTACTAAACAAACTGAAACTTGGGTGTGGATGTTAAACAGTAACCAACTTCAATAAAATGAAAAAACGAAGAAAACGTGCGACCAGAACTATTGAAATCTGACCCCCCTTTCAGTTTAACGTGGTGCGTAAACCAGTTTCTTAAATCTGTTTTTATTTCTTTCCACTTCGTTTAATTGTTTGATGAACATTTATTTTTATTTTGCTTGCATTTTACTCTACGTTCATTGTTATATGTACATTATAATAAACGAATGCATCTATACGAATCATTCTGGAATATTTGAATCAATGAAAAAATGCGATCCATTAGCGAAAGGCTATTAAAATAAAAATAACTAATTGTGTAACGTCGTACCGGCGCTGTACAAGGTCACTGACATCGCAGTTACGAACATGGCGCTGCACACAGACACCATAACCTGCAAAGCGCGTATCTGCGGACCCTGACTGCGGCCATGTGCCCAGCAGATGGCAGTAGCGCTGCGTGAAGGGCCGTTCCCAGAACGCCATTAAACGGTGCCTGTAACAGAGTTTGCGTCTGATTGTTTTGCAGTTCCGGATGTCAGCCTGATAAATCCGATGCAGTAATATAGAATAGTAATAAAAAACATAAAAAGGGAATATGTTCGTGAACGGGGGGCGGGGCTATTGAGTCAGGTGGCCATTTGCGTTCGTTCGCTCTCCCTCCTTCCTGCAGTGTCAGTATAGTTAAACAATGTACGTCGTGAACCCGGGAGCCGAGATCTGGCAAACCATAAAATCCGAAATGCACTTATTTGAAGTGTTCTATCGTGTATGTGAATAACAATGTGTATGTGTTTTACAACATCTCTATTGTGTTTTATATTGTATAGTTGTGCAGGGAATGTTTGGGCCAAAGCAAAGTGTTTGCTTAGGGCCCCCAGATTATTTTATTAGGTCACCTTAGAACCAGGATTTTTGTTTTTTCTTTTTTTTCAGGGATGTTTGCTTTTTGAGTGTTCATGTATAAATAACATTTTTCATAGGCAATAGGTACATATTAAAAATAAACTTCTAAAATTGTTTTTCAACTGTAAATGAATAATGCTTAATTTGCCATTTGCGCAAGTACATTGGTATTCTGTAGTTTTTGCACATCCCACTTCATTTAAGATGTGAATTTGCACATCCCATCTCCTTTAAGATGTATTTTTTTGTACATCCCATCTCCTTTAAGCTGTAGTTTTTGCACATCCCATCTCCGTTAAGCCGTACATAGATACAGAATGGCAAAATGTAAGAGTATAAGTATCCTTATTGTAGTTCACGAACACAGTAACACTGAAAAGTGCCATTAGTTACAAACACTCAGGAAAGGCCCGGTCCGGACTGTATGTTTTCTTGAAGTTTGAACTCGAAGACTTATATAGTGATGGATTTGCTGTTTCAGATAAGAAGAAAAAAGCACAAGAGAAGCCACTTCATATCTAAATGCTGGTCATATGTCATACTGCACTCAGTTGAAAGAACCAATACACCAGTCTCCATTATTCAAATGTGTAATTTATTGTGAGTCACCTTGGAAACTTGGTGTTAATGCGTAGTTTGATTGTGGTAGAATGTGCCCCCCCCAAGCCCGGCTTGTGGCCAGAGGCGTTACTGGTTCAGGGAAGAGATGTGACTGATGGTCATGCAGCGAGAACACAAAAAGTAACTTTAACAGTTAAAAAAGTGAGAAAACCATGAATAAATATTCATCAGAACAGCTCTTCTTTAACAGACATATTTGCGTAAGAGTGAAAAGTACCGTTAAGAGCAAATAGACTGGAAAGTTGTTTCCGGCATTTTCCTGAATGGATTAAATGCCACACACCTGCCTGTTTCTGTCTATTGACGATGTTTAGCTCAAAACATGGTTCCTTTAATTGTGAGGAAGTCAAGTACCCTTGCTGTTAAACTGACTTAAATGCGGCAGTTTTTTTTAAGGGTTATATCACTGAAATGTTAGTGTCAGTATCCTGTGCAAGAAATTACGTAAAATGTCAGATTAAAGGAAGTAACATTGTGAAGAAAGTCTGGGGAGGTTTCTGCAGTAGTGTCTGTGGCAAATGAGAGTCCTGAAGTCACGTATGACAGACATGTATGCCTGGAAATAATGCTAAATTTGGTTTGTTTCGTCGTTTGTTTGTTTGATACCATGCCCGGTTTTGGTGTTTAGGTCCAGCTAATTGTAACTAATATATGTGCCATAAGATGTTGAATTTGTAACAGTGCATTACAATATTTACATGCTATCACCGACACATTCATTTTTTTTTTTTTTTAAGAAATCCAGATACATAAACTGAATCAGACAGTTCATGAACAGCAGTGACATTTCCTGCAGAAGACGATGCGACCGTACATGCCTGTGTGCCGGGTATTCTGGGATAAGGCCTGGATTTTATGTTATGGTAGCAGGTTAAAGTTCATAGCTTTGTTGTGCTTATTAATAATAAATGTGTAAATTGCTTATGGTCATTACCAAACTGAACACTAAATGGGTTGGTGAATTGGTCACTGTAACTGTTTTCCTTTCGGTTCCCTGGCTCACTGACTGTTGTATGATTTTTATTCTTTTGGCTACATGATTCACACCATCAATGCAGGGTGGACACGGTCCCCCCCCCCTTGATGTGTCCTGTCCCCCTTGTGATATTATACTTTCACCCAATCCCAGTGACAGGTTGGGACCCCTCCCTCAGACTCTCAGGTTTTACTCAGTCCATATCTGAACTAGACGTAAACATGAGGAGCCACTCAGGACCACAGAGGACTGCGATGCCCCGAGACCTTCCCCTGTCCTTCACATCACTCACTAACCTACAGCCTAATTCTAAGCAATAAATTATTGGATCAATATAAATCCATCCATCCATCCATCCTTCTTCTATACTGCTTATCCTGTTCAGGGCTGCGGGGATTCAGAGCCTTACCTGGAAACAACAGGAGCAAGGCAAGGAATAACCCAGGGTGGGGTGGCAGCCAATCACAGGGCAAGGAATAACCCAGGGTGGGGTGGCAGCCAATTACAGCATATATTAATTTTCAGATCATAATTGTTTATTCTGAGATCATTGATACAAAATTGATACAAGAGCCTTGAGTGAGGAGGGTAACCTTGGTGACCTGGAGGCCCTGTTGAGGACAGCTAGGGGCCACAGAGCATACCAGCAGTCTCAGGGTGCGGGGGGGGGGGGGTAGGATTTCAGCCAGCCTTATGGAAACCCAAAGTAACCCATTTCCTAGCTGAAAAACCCCTCCCTACCCCGTACGCACAATCCAAAGCCTATGAAACAAAGACGCAAGCACCGAGGAGACGGGCACTATTTACAGCAGTCCACACAGCTGAAGGCCATCTTTGTGGCCCACCTGCACTTTCCCAGGAAAATCAGCATGTCGAAGCAGCTGAGGGCGTTCACGGCCAGGAACACCTCATTCTGCCCTTCCAATCTTAAGTCGTTATTGAAATTCACCACATAGTATATCCTAAATATGTGGTACGGGAAAAAGCACACAATCATGATTAAAACGAAGAGGAAGCTTTTCACTTGGGCCCAGAATTCCTGGTGTTTGAAGGCGGCCATCTTGTACAGCTGGAGGAGTCGGATCAGTATGTACAGCTGGCATCCCGTAAATGCCAGCACGGTCAGGAGGACGGCACAGCTGATAACGTAGTTCAGGATGCGCACGGACTGATCTTTAAGCGCCGAGCCAAATCGGAAGCACTCGGTGCCGTTGGTGACGTTGGTGCCGTTGGTGCCGTAGGTGCCGTTGGTGACGTTGGTGACGTTGGTGCCGTTGGTGACGTTGGTGCCGTTGGTGCCGTTGGTGCCGTAGTTGGAGAAGGTGACTGGGAAGAGGATGCCGAAGATGACGAGCCAGATGGAGGCGCTGAAGGCGACGGCGTGCAGACGGCGGTAGAAGGCCAGCCTGCTGGTCCGCTTGAAGAAGCCGATGTCACGGATGACGAGGATGATGACGTAGAAGATGAAGGAGAGGAACATGTGGCCGTGCAGGGTGGCGCTGACCAAGCGGCAGAACGCGGGACTCAGGCGCCATTCGTTGTACGCGTAGTAGTGGATGCGGAAGGGCACGGTCAGGAGGAAGAGGTAGTGCACCAGGATCAGGTTGATGACCGCCGTGGTGGTCACCGAGAGACCGCTGGACTTCAGGATGCTCACCAACGTCACAGTGCTGACCAGTCCGCCAAAAACCAGGATGAGGCTGTAGATCACCAGCAGGGTTACTCTGATATCATGAGGCATGTCGGTGTGGTTTGTCCTGTTCTCTATCCTGAACAAGGAGACATTCAATTTTAAAAAAAATGTATGTTAATAACAGTTATTGTGTGGTCTTATAGATTGTGTTTGATAAACCAGAATTATAATCAGCTTCTAATTCATCAGGGATGACGTACAATAACTTATGATAAACCGGCAGCACGGCTTTGTAACTGCACTGCTGAGTGAGAACATTAGCTAAATTGTCTTATTAAAAATAAGTGTATCACTGAGCCATTAAAGTGGATCTCTGTGCGTCTGTAGTTAACTAGAAGAGAAGGCATTTCAGAGGATATCTCTATTAACACGTTATTGTAGTTTAATAGCTATTTAAAAAATACCTCATAGATGCTAAATGATTTTAGAAAGTTAAACAGTAACATTCAAAACCTTCATATTGTAAACGGAAGTCTCACTGTATACGTTATTTCACTGTATACGTTATTTCACTGTATACGTTATTTCACTGTACACCGGTCTTGCAAAATTCATATGTTCCTTTTCCTACAACTTAATTTCATAGGCATTCATCTGCACAGAGGTGGACTCTCCCATATCTCTGTTAGTACAGAAACGCTCTCATGGCTGAAGAACTCATCAGTGTAGAGACTGGGGATGAATCTGTTTAGCTGCTTTATATTACAGTATGGGTGCATCTATTTAAACACAAAAGTGCAAAATCACGTTGTCCTTATGAAGTGCGCATGTTAACATGGAAGATCTGAATCTACCAAACTTTATAAGCTTCCGGAGACAAACCAGCCTGGAATCAAGAATTGATATTAAGCATAAAATTTTCATTTATATGAAGACAAACTTCTGTGCTCATCTGGATAAAGAAGATTAATTTACCTTTGATCAGAAGTAGTTCAGAGGAGTTACTGTCCGTTCATCACTGAAGATTCTGCCCAAACGAAAACATGACAGGCACGACTGAGCCGAGATCGTTTCTGATAACCGGCGATTCACTTCCTTGTGCTTCTTACACCTTCCCTCTCATCTCTCCTAAATAGATTTTCAGTTTCACAACATCTCTCTGTGCTAATGAGCTGCGTGGCTTGACTTGTGCTTTTTTTTTTTTTAGGTCATTTGTGGCCGTAGTTTGAAACAAGGAACAGTGCTGGATGAATGTAGTACCGCGACCTGTGACCAGAAATGATGATCAGGATGTGGTCGGGCTGCTCACAACTCGAAAACGCCCCCCCCCCCCCCCATACTGGCCAGGAGGATAACCTCACCAATTCAAGGAAATAGAGAAAAAAATTTGACACGAACCGATGTTTCATTTCGGAGCAGCCAAGCCCCTTTCCCCTCTCGTATATTAACGATAAAAACTAAAAATGCACATGAGTGCTGCTGTTCAAAAATACTCACGCACACAAAGTTCTGGAAGCTGACCTTAGACACAGGTTTTGCTGAATAAATCTGTGTGTGTGTGTGTGTGTCTATTACCAGGGCTGGGATGAATGGCACATTTATGGGTGTATGCACAGGACAGAGCATTTACACCGACATAAAGGGAAAATCGAAGCGCCAGAAGTGATGCTCACATGAAACGGTACATGAGCTAGATCGGGCGCTGGGCACGGGAAGTGTGTGGCTCAGAGGGGTATAGGCTGCAATGCATGTGACCAGAAGGTTGCTGGTTCAAGTCCCAGGGTCTGTTGTGATTTGACTGCTGAGGTCTGGACCCTCAGATGCTTAAGGAATTTTCTGCTCCTGCTTTCTCAAAACTGTACTTTACTTTGGATGACGTCACGGTCATGTGCCACGTCTGTAGGTAAATCAGGGGAACGACTCAAAATGGCTAATTATGGATATGCAAATCAGTGCCAGGGCTGGAATCAGCTGGTGCCACAATACCTCTCTTGTCTCTTCTGCAAAGTAAAGCTGTTCTCAAAAATGTTACACAAAGTCCAGGTACCATTTCAGTCACAGAATTACCACATAATCTTAGGGGTAGCAGTGGGGGGTGGGGGGGGTGCTGTGTGACTGCAGGTTAATGCTTGATTCCCATGATCAGATCACTGGTTCAAGTCCCAGGGTTGGCAGGGTGATGTCATCATCGTTCCCCACAGAATAACCCCCCCAACCATGAGCTGACTCTCCCTGCATTCTGGATTGTACCTCACTTTGGGAAAAGGTATTCGCTGGATAAATAAAATACAAATACATTTCAAGGACATGAAGCTAATTGTTGCCAGTACATCTCACCAGAGCTGCTTTTGCACCCTTGATTGGGATGTGTGAAATTAATTGCTCTGGTGAAATATTACATGGAAAATTGTGTGTTGTTTACACTTAAGAAATGTGCCCTTTGATGTGAGTAGGGCGGACGGTCAGGACACGTCACAGAGCAAACAGGGCCGGTGTCCTGGGAGCAGAAAACGCGCGTCGCTCATGCGAGACACCGAAACAGCTGTCTGGCTGACCTGACCTTGCCCGCTTCCCAGCAGCCTCTTCAACCAGATCTGACCCCAGATCAGCCCCGGACACCTAATCTCACACAGCTATTACAACAGCTTCACTACTGAGCTCTCTGAGATCAGCATGTTTACAGAAACAGGTGGACGATATAAATGCAGAAAATACGGGTAATAGCTTGTGCTACCAGCTTGTCGAGCTACGCCGTCATCAGGTAGCGTGGAAGTTAAGCACCTGCCCAAAATGACCCGAAGGCTCCTGATTTGACCATTAGAAAGACGTCTTTGACACCCGTGACCAGCTGGGCCTACTGGCATCCCTGAGGGTGGCTAATTTACTGGGGCGATCTTGGGTATGTAAAGTGCTTTAGATGAATGGGATTAGCTGAACAACTTTGGTTGAACCATATTAGAAAAGCATGAAAACCTAGTGCCGTTAAAATAAGCAGTGTTTCCAGGTTGTAGATTTCAGTATTAGGCGGTAGGGAAATGTCCTTATCAATACTGTGGGGGCAATGTGTGTGTGTTTAGGGGGGCGGGGGGCTGATTTGGTCCCTACCAGTCTTTGAAAACAAACCAATGTGAAAAGTTTCACCCAGACCCAACCAAGAAGTAGGACACATAATTCTAGCAACGTATCTGCGTGACTTGGCACAGCCTTTATTATGATATATGCCACATTAGTCACTTCTGTAGTGGCTAATGGTGTTTCAAAATTGAGGTTTGTTGTTTGTGTCAAGCACCCTGGTTCCAACCCATGTGGTGTGGTGCAGAGATCGCATTTGAGGACCGAGCATGAGGGCGCACGCCACTGAGAAACCCAAACGATGTTGGACGGTCTGCAGTTCTCGGCACATTTTAATCTATGCTTAATTATGGCTTTAAGGCTTTGAGTCTTTTTTCCGGTGTTCAGTCCGGATTAAGCCACGGAAGCTTCGTGAGGCTTAATTCGTCCCCCCAGTCCCTGCACCTTTAAGGTGAACCCTCTCGTGCACCTCCCCGATTTATTTATTTATATTAATGCTGTAAATATTTCGTGTTGACTGCATGACAATAAACAAAAGCTTCAAGGCATTTTCAGAGCCAGCTACTAAAATCACGTATCAATATATCAATAATAATAATAGTAATAATTTAACCTATAAGATCTAGACCGACCACTTAAAATAGGAACTTGCCTATTTCTACATACTACTCTGAGCAATTGACCCAAACCAGACATTGAAGGGGGGGGGGCATTACACTACAGGCGTCTACATTTGGTCCTATATCTGATGATAATAATAATAATAATAATAATGGTGGTGATGATGATGATGATGATGATGTGTCCTTCCGTCGCAGACCGACCCGCCGGCCGCCCGTCCGCCACCCGGCCCGGTCACCCGAGCCGCTCCCGCATCCAATCCCGAACCGGGGGCGGGTTCTGGCTTGTCATTCTGTCAGCCCCACGGAACCGCCGTCTTCCCCCGCTTGTCAATTGGCCGTATCCAGGAAGAAGAGGGAGGGAGGTAATATTATTCATTTATTTTAGGACAAAAATGGCGGCTGGCAGCGTCAATCCATTCAATCTCAGCGACTCGGATGAGGAGTCGGAACTGAGACCGATCGGGACCGAGAACGGGACGCCGGGTCCCGGCATCGCTCCTCTGCAGCTGCGGGTGGAGCCGGGGTCGGTGACGCTGGTGCTGCCCGGCGGCGGCGGCGGCGGCATCAGCCCCGGCGTAGAAGCGGCTCCTGTCTCGCCTGTAGCGGCGGGGGGCGGCGCGGAAGCGCGGCTGTCCGTGGATGCGATCGCCGCCCAGCTGCTGCGGGATCAGTACATCCTGACGGCGCTGGAGCTGCACACCGAGCTGCTGGAGAGCGGCAGGGAGCTGCCCCGGCTGCGGGATTACTTCTCCAACCCCGGAAATTTCGAGAGGCAGAGCTGGACACCTCCCGCTGCCAAGGAGCAGGGGGGAGCCGCTGGGCAGCTCAGTGAGTATATATGCGTGGCTGCCGTGCAGCGGTTCGCCTTATCTTACCCTTTGTCTAAACCTCCACCCCCGGCGTTAGTATTATTGATGTTGTTTATTAAAATCTTGTGGTGACGGTATGAAATCGTCCATTAGGATGCAAGGCCCGGCTATTGACAAGTGGGAGCTCGCGCTGGCATAAACCGTTAGGGATCTGAAGTGTCCGTCCATCCATCCAGTCTCTAAACTCCATGATTGCCCGCATGACAGTAGTATGTCTGTGTTATAATATAAAAGCTTAGATATGATCCTTTTAAATCAGATACAGTCACAACAAAGCCAACAGTGTCACTTCACACACACACACACACACACACACACACATTACGAGAAAGATCTCGGTATGTATGTTGATGCTTCCATGTCCCACTCTCGCCAGTGTGGGGAAGCTGTTCAGCCAAATGACTATTTCAATATTAGTCTAAATACTAGATTTCGTGGCCATAAGTGGAAATTAGCGGGAGAACA